AATCCTGACCTGAGCCGAAGGCAGAGGCTTTAACCCACTGAGCCACCCAGGTGACCCCCCAGGCGTCCCTCTCAGTACTTGTTTTGATGATTGAGTAATATTCCATTGTATGGATATACCACATTTTATTTACTCATTGCTCAGAATGGACATTCCTTGGAGGGACATTTGGGTTGTTTGGACTTTTTTACTCATATGGGTAGTACTATTATGGACATTGTGTAAAAGTTTTTATGTAGATACATGTTTTCATTTTTAGGGGGGTATACAAAGGAGTAGAATTGCTGGATCATACTGTAATTCTATGTTTAAACCTTTGAGGAACTGCCACTATTTTCCAAAGTAGCTGCACCATTTTACATTCCCACCAGCAGTATGTAAGGGTTCCAGTTTTCCCACATGCTTGCCAACACTTGTTACTATTTTTCTTTATCATTATTAATAGCCACTGTCCTAGCGGGTATGAAGTAGTATCTCACTGTAGTTTTAATATGCATCTCCTTGATGGTTGATGATGAACATCATCTCTTGTGCTTACGACCATTTGTATATCTTCTTTGGAGAAATGGCTATTTAGAAACTTTGCCCATCTTTAAACTGGGTTGTCCTTTTATTTTATTGCAAGAGTTGTTTATATATTCTTTTTATTTTATTGCAAGAGTTTAAACTTCCTAACTCATACTATTTTTGAAGATGAATGGTCAATTAAATCTGATATGACACCACTCAACCACTAAAAGTGATGTGATAGCATTCATTGCCACATTTTGATATATGATTAAGTGAGAGAAGCAGGTTCTAAAACATGATGATCCATTTAAAAAATATTCAGAGAAAATTATCTGGAAGTGTATATATCAAGGTGTACAGCACTCATCTTTGGTTGTTGCGATTATGTATATACATTTTTCATTTTTATAAATAAAATTAAAAAAATACAAAATATTTCATATACATATAATATACTTTTATATAATTTATAATCATATAAAATATAATTTGTAATCATATGTAAATATTTATAATTATATGTAAATTATATATAATCATATAATTTATAATATAAATATAAACTATTTATTTAATTATGTATATTTTTTATTTTTCTATATCTTTTCTTTTAATGACTATGTATTATTCCTATAATAGATTATTCTCAGATTCTTTAAAAACTCAGCTGGATAAGAAAATGCCTTCCTCAGTGGCACATGCGTTTGACTGATTATGCTCATTATTTGGACTTCCCAAAATCATAAGTGGGTGAGTGTGAAACCACAGTAGAGGCCATTTCAACAGAAGAACAACCTGAAGCTGTAGCACTTAGTTCCATACAGACCAGTGGTTGGGAGGGAAGGGATAAAAGGTATATGACGTATAGGCACTTAATACCAATCTGTATGACTTGCCTCAGTTTGCAAAGCATTTCAGACACCTTCCTTGGCTCTGCAACAACTGTACTGAATACCAAGATGCAGAGACATTATGTTCCTGCCCAAGGTTGTGCGGTCTTGTCTGTAAGGATGCTCCAACTACAGTTTGGGGGGCATCTGGGTGGCTCGGTCAGTTGAGCATCTGACTCTTGATTTCAGCTCACGTCATGATCTCAGTGTCATGAGATCAAGTCCCACATCGAGCTCCACACTGGGCGTGGAGCCTGGTAGAATTCTCTCTCTCTGTCTCCTTCTGCCACTTGCACCCTCTTCTCTTTCTCTCTCTACTAGAAACAAAAAAACCTACAGCTTGGGTTTTTCTATTCTTGCTGCAGTACTTGTAACTGACAGTCCTGCCTCTCATCCTGGGTTCTTCTTTTTGTAAAATTGTCTCCAAGGGTCCAGTATCTGAAGGATGACTTTCTGATACCTGAAAAAAATGGGTTAGCCTGGAGCAATATGCCGTGCTTTTGGCTAAGGGAGTAGGTAAATGGCTACAAGTTGTCCCTGTTCTCCACTGCTCCAAACTCTCAAATGCTTTTCTTTCTCGGGAAAGGAACAGTTATTGTTATATGAATTAACTTATGTCTTGTTATTATTTACTTTTTTTTCATTTATAAGCTTGATTACTAAGCTTTCAATATTGCTTTTTCTTAGAGCTGTTGCTCATGGGGTGCCCAGGTGGCTCAGCCAGCTAAGTGTCTGACTTCCACTCAGGTCATGATCTTGGGGTCCTGGGAATGAGTCCAGCATTGGGCTCCCTGATTGGTGAGGATTGGTGGTCTGCCTCTCCCCCTACCCTTCTCCCTGCTCATGCTCTCTCTCTTTCTCAAATAAATAAAATCTTTAAAAACAAACAAAACTGTTGCTCAAATGAAGTCATCCTGGCATTTGTATTTGCTTTATTACCCTTCTATGATTTTCACAGCAGCTTTGCAAACAACAGACTTATTATTCCTTGGCACATGCTTCATCATTTATGAACACGAGAAAGGAAGATTATTTTTTTTTTCCTTTGCTCAAATATTTGTGGCATTATTGGAGTTCTCTAGGCTAAAGTAGATGGAAAAAAAACTCTGAAGTCACTTTAAAAGCTTTCTCTAGATTCTAGACCAGAGATTAGCAAACTTCTTCTGTAAAGGCCCAGACAGTAAATATTTCAGGCTTTGTAGGTGTCTGTTGCAAATACTCAACTCTGCCATTGAGGTACAAAAGCACCCAGAGACAATGCGGAAACAAGTGGGTGGGGCTGTGTGCCAATAAAACTTTATTTACAAAAATAGACAGTGAGCAGATTTGGTGCACAGGCTATGGTTTGCTGACTCCTGTTTTCAATTGTTCTGAAACATTTGTCTACCAGGAATCTAATTTTTTGGCTGAGTGATTTGTTATCAGCCATATGTTTCAAAGCCTCTTTCTATCACCCAAGACGGTAGTGGATTTTTCTCTTCAAAAGCAAAATATGATACTTACAAAGCTAATTATTACTCACTACATCCAAAGCTCAGTGAGAGTCAGAAGGCAAATCCGGTATTACTCAGTCACTTATTTATCTCTTCCTTTCTAAGGTGAAGAGTTGCTATAAGCTACAACCTGGGCCCTTTTTGGTCCAGGAACGTATCCCTGACCTCGTCCAGTCAGAGAAGGTATCCCAGGTCATAAGTTATCCAGTCTGGGTTTTATTTCACTGTGGCCATCTGAACCACAGATCCAAAGAGCATTTTTATTTCTATCAGTTCCTTTGAAATTTATTAGAGAACAAAAATGGTTCTGAACAAATTCCAGTGACTGAGTTGAAAACAAGACTTTTTTTTTTTTTTTTTTTTTTTTTTTTTGCATGTGTGTGGTTTTCTAGTCACTTAATCACATTATGTGTCCCTTTACCCATGGGCAGTTGGGAATTATAAGACCTTTTTGTAGTAAAGATTCTAAGGTAAAAGGTAACATAAAAGGGATTGGTAGCTTTTATGATGAATTTGATGCATAAAGTTCTTCCATGCAAGAAAAAGTTTCTATTTCTTTCTTTTTTTTTTTTAAGATTTTATTTATGTATTTGACAGATAGAGATCACAAGTAGGCAGAGAGGCAGGCAGAGAGAGGAGGAAACAGGCTCCCCGCCGAGCAGAGAGCCGATGCAGGACTTGATCCCGGGACCCTGAGACCATGACCTGAGCCGAAGGCAGAGGCTTTAACCCACTGAGCCACCCAGGCCCCCCAAAGTTTCTATTTCTTAACAAATATTTTAGAGAAGAGTGTTTTTTAAATGTCTGCTAGTATGTTTGGTCAACAAAATACACAGGTATTTTTTTTTACGTGACAGGGTTTTATCCCAGAAAGGGATAAGAACCTTTTCCCACTGCCCCCTTAACTTATAATTTTTAAGTTAACATTTTTCTGATGTCAGAGTAATAGAATTTTATAGAAGAAAATATGGGAAATTTAGAAAGCATAAGTAAGTAAAGTCAAAATCACTACCAACCCCTTAAAGGTAACTACTATTGGGGCGCCTGGGTGGCTCAGTGTGTTAAGCCTCTGCCTTCCGCCTACTTCCCTCTCTCTCTCTCTGCCTGCCTCTCTGCCTACTTGTGATCTCTGTCTGTCAAATTAAAAAAAAAAAAGGTAACTACTGCTCACATTTTATTGTCCATTTAGATGGCTCTTAATGCGTATCATACATATAGATTAAGCTATAACATTTTCACCTGCATGAGATACTATACAAAGCATTTTTGTATTCTGCCTTTTATATTTCTATGTCGGTCAATCTGGATCAACATCAACTTTAAGGGCTATTTTGGCATTCCACAGGAGTGAGATACTTACTGTTATCTGCTTGGAGGATCTCCTATTTGTGTATTTTAAATACTTTGTACTTTTCCACTATTACAAAGAGTGCTTAGATAAACATCCCTGTACATGTCCGGCCAGAGTATCTCTTTTTAAGAGAAACTACTAAAGTGCCATTAGCAGAAATATGTCTGTACTTAATGTATGTAGGATTTTGATACAGAAAAGTTTACGTTCAAATTATATCCTTTCTAACAGGTAATAAGAGTGCTTTATGCCCTCACCAATACTGGGAAATTTCTCTAATTTCTCAACAGATCAGTTATCAGCATTTTGGCATCCTTTGTGCTAGCTCTTATTGTTTGTTAACTATTTTGTATCCTTTAACCCAACACCTACATAGCACTTACTGTATGTCAGAGACTGTTCTAGGTGTTTTTATGAGGATTAGCTAATCTCATCTTCACTGTAACCCAATAAAGTAAGGACCATTACTATTCTTAACCTAGAGATGGGAAAGCTGTGAAGCAACTGGAAATTCACACATCTGGTAGCTGGTAGAGCCAGGATTTGAAGCTTCCTCGTTATTCTAGACTCCACCTGCTTGACCATCGTGCCTGCTGCTGCCTCTTTGGAGGAAACAAAAACTTAGCTGGCTGGAGAGAGAACCTGGACAACAGGGGCCAGAGAGCCAAATCGTAACCCTTAGATGTATACATTTTCCCACCTATATGTCTTCTAATTATTTAAGAAGTAATCTCTTTGATTTTTTTTTTTTTTTAGGATGTATCAAAGTCAGAAGAAATCAAAAGAAGCTCTGCCTCACTACCAAGAGGCTTTAGAATATATTGAGATCAGTCGAGGTGAAAAAAGTCTTGAGTGTGTACCAATATTGAGGGAATTAGCTGGTGCCGAGCAAGCCCTGGGACTTCACGACGCGTCCGTCAACCATTTTCTACAGGTAAGCTGCAATCTACGGGCCACCAAAGTTCTTCTGGACCCACTGGTTTCCATGGACACGAGTGGAAGAGCAGCTCAGAACGCCTGGTTTTGTTGTTTGCTCGGGATAAGAACATTTTCGTCTAGGTGACCGAGTGGCTAAGTGTGGGAGAAGGGTCCTCTGTTGCCAGGTTCGTGGTCCTCAGATAGCCTGAGACTCCTTGAAGACAGCTTTTCTCCTATTAGTGCCATTATTCAAGTCTTATTTTCTGAAGTTCTTTGTCTTCTCAAGTTTATTTAGAGCTTATGTTATCAAACTGATTAAGGTTCTTTTCTAACCATCTAAAATCTTCTACCATCTAAAATTTTCTACCATTCTAAAATCTGTCACTTGAAGCCACTTGGAGTTGTCATTTATTAGCTCCTGATCTCCTTTATCATCGTAGGATTCCTCTGTGAGTGTGTCAGTCAGGGTTCTCCTGAGAAACAGAACCAACAGGACATATACAGAGAGAGAGATTGATTTAGGGAATTGACTGATGCAGTCATGGGGGGGCTCATGAGTCTGAAATACATAGGGTAGGCAGGCCAGCTGAAAACTCAGGCCCGATGTCTATGTTATAGTCTTGAGACGGAATCCCTTCTTCTCCAGAAAACCTCAGCTTTTTGCTCTTTAGGCCTTCAACTGATTGGATAAGGCCCACTCACATCGCAGAGGGCAATGTCCTTTACTCCAAGTCTGATTGTAAATGTTAATCACATCTACAAGATGCATTCACAGCAACATCCAGACTAGTGTTTGACCTAAAAACCAGGCACCATGGCCTCACCAAGTTGACACATAAAATTAACCTTTACAGTGAGTTCAATGTTTTTGTATGGCATCATCTGCTGAAAACACATTTTAAATTGTTTTGTCTGAACATTTTTCCCTGTTAAAGTTGTAAAATATAGACCGAACTATTCTTGTTATTTAGGATCAGATGCAATGACATGGGATTAAGAGTTTTGGATTGCTCTTTCTTTTTAAATTTGTCAGACCATGTATACACCCACCCAGAGTTTTTAGAATATCCTATTCTGTCACTGTTATCTGGATTATCTCTCTCTTTTTTTTTTTAAGATTTTATTTATTCATCTGACAGACAGAGATCACAGGTAGGCAGAGAGGCAGGCAGAGAGAGAGAGAGGGAAGCAGGCTCCCCGCCGAGCAGAGAGCCCCAGGTGCGGCTCGATCCCAGGACCCTGAGATTGTGACCTGAGCCAAAGGCAGAGGCTTAACCCACTGAGCCACCCAGGCACCCCTGGATTATTCCTCTTAATTACTATCTCCCTATGACATAGTATTATGTCCAGTTTATAGATAAGGAAGTCAAGAATTGGAAAGGTTGAGTGATAGACCCAGGAGTACCATCAATGCCAATAAATAGCATAGCCCAGAGTCAAACCCAGTAGTTTTCAGAAAGATTTTTCTAGCTGGTATGGAACAGAATGGACCAGGGAAAATGTGCCAACAGTGGAAGTAGGGAGAACAGTTCGGAGACTACCAAAGTAGCAAAGGCTGAAGATGATTTTGCCTCGGACAAGGATGATGATAGTAAGGATGAAGAGAAGTAGACGGGTTTGACAAAGATGTACGAGGCAGAATTGATGAGGTATGGAGATAGATTGGATAGATAGATAGAAGAGGGCATGGGGATGAATCAATGATGACTCCTGGGTTTCTGGTCTGAACAACTGCGTGGATGTTTGTGCCAGGTACAGTGGGGGTTGGGGAGCAGGCGTTGACAAGTGCTGGAGAGATGGCAAGCTCAGGTTTCGACGGCGGGTCTGAGATGCCCATACAGGTGGAAATGTCAGTTACGTAATCGGGACTAGAGCTCAGAACAGGGGTCAGGAAGTCATCTATGTATATGCAGTTAGTTGCCTTGGGAGAGGATGAGATCACCCAGTGGTGTGTGTTGGGGGGCAGGTAGATTATTGAGTGAGAAGAGAAAAGGATACAACAGAGCCTTAAGTAACTTCAGCATTCATTGGTCAAGTCAAGAAGGATAACCTGGCAAAGAGAGCAGAGAAGAATTTGGCAGAAAAACATGAGCAAAAGTAAAAGTGAAAGTGGTATCTTCTGTGTCTTTTGATACCTTTTGCTGTTCTGAAGGACATGGGGCAGTTGGGAGAATAAATGGATGAGTATTCCTAAATCCTAAAGTGCTTAGCACAGTGCCTGACACATAGCACTACACGGGATTTTAAAAATTCCCCTCTTTCCTTTCTTTTTCCTTTCTCTTTCCTTGATGACTTGGTCAAGGGAAACACTGGGGCGGTCAAGAGGCAGAAACCAGATTGTGTGGTGAGTGAGATGTGAGGAAGCAAACACAATAAACATATGTACCTAATTTTTAAAAAATTTTTAATGTAAATTCAATTTAGTTAACATATAGTATATTATTAGTTTCTGGGATAGAATTTAGTGATTCATCAGTTGCATATAACACCCAGTGCTCATTATATCACGTGCTCTCCTTAATGCCCATCACCCAGTTACCCCATCCCCCAGCCACCTTTCCCCTCCATCAACCCTCAGTTTGTTTCCTAGAGTTCAGAGTCTTATGGTTTGTCTCCCTGTCTGTTTTTATGTTATTTTACTTTTCCTTTCCTTCCCCTATGTTCATCTGTTTTGTTTCTTAAATTCAGCATTTGAGTGAAATCGTATGGTGTTTTTCTTTCTGATTGACTTATTTCACTTAGCCTAATACCCTCTAGTTCCATCCATATCATTGCAAATGGCAAGATTTCATTCTTTTTGATAGCCGAGTAATATTCCATTGTATAAATACACTACATCTTCTTTATCCATTCATCCGTCCATGGACATCTGGTCTCTGTCCATGGTTTGGCTATTGTGGACATTGCTGTTATAAATATTGAGGCACAGGTACCCCTTTGAATCACTATTTTTGTATCCTTTGGATAAATACCCAGTTATGCAATTGCTGGGTCATAGGATAGCTCTATTTTTAACTTTTTGAGGAACCTCCATAGTGTTTTCCAGAGTGGCTGCACCAGCTTGCATTCCCACCAACAGTGTAGGAGGATTCTCCTCTCTCCACATCCTCAGCAACATCTGTTGTTTCCTGAGTTGTTAATTACAGAGCCCTATTTCACAAAGTACTAAGAGGTGAGGAAGACCAGCCCAGGCAGAGGGAAGAGCGTGACCTGAAAGTGAGATGTAGCTTGACTTCAGGGAACCGAAGCAAGTTCCCTCTGCCTGGGCAGTGGGATGGTGAAGGCCCTAGATCGGTATCATTCAAGTGGGGTGTTGAAAATCATGGGAAGGAATTTGAGCTTCATCCTAAGGGCAGTTAAGGGTTTTCAAGCAGGAAGACTGACATCATGAGATTATCAGTCTTGAAGGGTCACAGTGTGGAGAATGGACTGGATGGCAAAGAAATAATCAAGGATGTATCAGGAGATGGTCGCAGCAGACCAGGTGGGGGATGATAACACCTGGACTCAGGTGTTGTGTCCAGGTGTTGTCAGGGGATAAAAACATGGACAGACTTGAGAGATGCATAGAGACTAGAAACAGTGAGCTAAGGAGTTGGGGAAGTGAAGGAAATGGAGGAGTGTGGTGTTGGGCCAGGTTTCTGGCTAAGGTATGGCTGGTGGGACCATTTACGGAATGCAGGAGCTCAGTGGACTCGCCATGTTTTGTTAGTATCCATAATTCTGAACATTCTTATACAAAATGCTTTTTTTCTTTGATTATTTGCTGGTATAAATTTTCAGGCGTTAAACCATCAGAAGGAAAGATGTGAATGTTTTATAGTTCTTGATTCAGGATGACATTCTGCCAAAGGGTAATTTTGATTTATCTAGCCACCAGACGTTGGTTTCCCTTTGTTCTTAACCGAACCAGTTTCTACCAACCTTGCCAACTCTTTTACACTATTTTTCACTCCCATGTGATACAATATAATCTCAAATTTAATTTAAAATTTGTCCTTAGTCCGGGTTTCCTAAATGTTTCCTGAGGGTATCCATTTCCGCCCTTAAAATCTCCATGCAATCTTTGCTGTACCAGTTTCTAAAATTCTAAAAAGGCATCAAGTGATAATGTGCTCAGAGTCCCCCAGGGAAGGTCATTACCCATAACAAAAGCCACTGGAATGGAAGATAGGTGGCTTCTAAGACCCAGCAGTAGGCATTCCAAAGATTTGAATTTGGTTTAGAGAAGCATTTTCCAAACTATGTTCTAGAGAATACTAGCATCTCACACATCTCACAAGAATTCATAGGTCTTCCTAGAAAAGATATTTGTGATTAAATAAATTTGGGAACTATTAAGTTAAAACTAAACACATGTCTCTCTAACACCTGGTTTTACTGTGCATTGGAAATACCAAATGTGGTACTGAGAATCGAGAATCCTATATCTATGAGACGCTAGTGTTCCCTGGGCCATAGTTGAGGAAATCCTAGTGTAGAGAAAGAAATTGTAATTTCTAAGAGCAGGGATCATCGAAAGGATTCTACCTTCCAGTATATTAGGCCTTATCACCTCTAGGAGCCCTTGGTACTATGTGAATGGAAAATGGGTTAAGTAGTTCCTCTTGTTTGTGGGGCCCAGATTCACCATTTTTTAAAAAAGGATTTATTTATTTATTTGAGAGGGAAAGTAGGGGATGGGGAGCCTAAAGGGAGAGGGAGAGAATATCAACAGACTCTCCACTAATCATGGAGCCCAATGCCAGGCTCAGTCTTGAGACCCAGAGATCAGGACCTGAGCTGAAACCAAGAGCTGAACACGTAACCAACTGAGCCACCCAGGCACCCCCCACCCCCGCCCAGAGTCACCATTTTAAAGTATTTTGCCATAGTTGTTCTCCCTGTCTGTCTATAGAGACTCACATGCATGCATATATAGGCACAAAGTGGTAACTATTTACACTTTTTAATCATCTGGAAGTATTTGATTATATTGTGTCCTTCTATCCCTGAGTACTTAACAAAGATAGTCTC